TATCTGCACAGAACCAGCAATCACCCTAAACACACCAAAAAAGCTGTGATATACAGCCAAGCCCTCAGATACCACCAAATTTGAACTGGAGAGAACACCTGGGATTGCCACCTCACCAATCTTAAAAAGGATTTCACCCAACAAGGACACTCCTCCAGAGAGAGAGACCGCATGTTTGAAAGAGCCACCCGGATACCACGTGAAGAACTGCTGCAGTCCAGAAGAAAAGCCCCCACAAATCGCACACCTCTAGTTACAACATATCACCTCTCCCTTAAACCCGTACGGAAAATCCTCAAACAACTGCAACCCATATTAGAAAGAGACCCTATTCTTAAAGAGATCTTCCCAGAGCCACCATCCTAGCCTTCAAACAAGCACCGAACCTCGCTAACCTCATCACCAGAAGCAAACTTCCTCAGGCCCAGAACACACCGAATGGATCCAGACTGTGCCACGACAAGAAATGCAAAACCTGCCAACACACCTCCACCACCCCCACTATTACTACACCCCACAACAGAGCCATCAGCATTCTCGGATCTTACAGCTGCACCTCCAGGAATGTAAGGCATCTCATCCAATGCACCAAATGCCCTGATGGAAAATACGTAGGAGAGACCAAACAACAACTGTGCACCAGAACGAACACACACCGAAAATCTATCAAAGAAAGGAATGCCCAATTACCTGTGGGGGCACATTTCTCACGGGAGGGCCACTCTCTCTCCAATCTCTCAGTCCTGATCCTCAAAGGAAACTTAAGAAACACTTCCCAGAGATGAACCTATGAATTTCTCTTCATCAACCTCCTGGATACTAAAAGTCATGGACTAAATATAGACATTGGATTTATGACACATTATAACCTGCCTGACATCTGACTCCCCAGGTACATCTCCACTATTCATCCCCCTACTCCCTACCCCGCCAGTCTCTCACCCACTGACTCCTCAATCTACATCTTCACTGACTGCCCATCTTGTATGCAGACCAGCCCAGCCTCCGGCTTCTTTACTTTTCATTCTATCCAGGAAGAGCCACACATCAACCACTGAAACTTCCTTACCCTGACAAAGGGCTTTTGAACCCGAAAGCTAGCTTAAAAATTGTTTTCCAACTATATAAGTTGGTCTAATAAAAGATATCAGATTCACCCAAAGAACCTTGTCTGCCTATGTCCTCAGACCAACACGGCTACAACCTACACCCCTGTAACACAAATACGGGCTCTTAAATGTTCTTTTTTCTGGAAGTGATACATTTTTCAACCTTTGCTTTTGCTCAGTTTAGAGTTAGTCGCAGACACTAAGAGGAACACATGGGTCACTGCAGTTTCAGTGTCAAAAGTGACCAAGACTGCCCTTTAAACCCCTGACAGCTATCAACTCTTTGCTTTTGCTTGTTTTTTTGACTACAGAAAAATACAGAAGCCTGCCTCTGCTGCACAGGACTCGGACAGATTGCAGCCAGGCAAAACATTTGTAGGCTCACGTAGGGCGAAGAATTTTCCAAAACAGAAAATTTTCTAGTGCTTAATTTTTCTGTGGAAAAAGATCCATTTCTAAAAATTCATTGTTTCATAAAATTCATTAGTAACAATGGATGGACACCAATACAGTATTAGGCAAGCTGGGCAGCAGTGTTCCCTCTAAGCTGTGTGGCGTGCGCGGCCATGCAGGCGCACCCGGCAGCGCAGTCCGAGCGCGGCCGCGCAGCTTACAGGGAGCGCTGCTTGGCAGTTTCAAAGTTGTAATTCATGTTTTTTCAGAGGATTATCCGTAAGAAGCATGAGAGTATTTACGTGTTTTATTGACGTGTAAATAGCAGGGTAAATACGCTCTTATAATCCTCCAAACCAAAAATCAAGTTATGAAGTCACCTAATTAATTGGCTGTGCAGGTCAAATCCAAACCAAAGCACAGCATCTCTCACACACTTCTTTGCATGTGCTAAAATTAGTGTCTCAACAAGTTTTCAGTGCCTTTGTTTCCTCTTCCCTTAAATTTAAACAAACAACGTAAGGAAACTAGATGCTATTGTATACTGCCTCTACGTTTTTACAAGTATGCCAATAAAAATAATTGCTTCCCACATAAAGCTTTGAATATAACACTTAAGCCACATGAAGCATGCTGCATTTAATATCCCCCCCCCCTACCATTTCAGTTCAAATACCGGTGGTTATTGGGACATAAAGTGAACAGGGGGGTACTTTTTTTTACTTTTGTTTACTACATATACGTCACATAAACACGTGCAATCGGATCACGCGCTATTTAGGGCACTGGAAAAACTTCCGGAAAACCCACGTCTCTGCTCGGGGCCCGTTTGAAATCTCTGGGGGCCCGCCCACCCCTCAGGCAACGGGTTAAAAGGATCCCGCACCCCCTAAAGGCCTGGGCGGTGCAGGGGCCTCCCTTACTTTTGTTTACTACATATACGTCACATAAACACGTGCAATCGGATCACGCGCTATTTAGGGCACTGGAAAAACTTCCGGAAAACCCACGTCTCTGCTCGGGGCCCGTTTGAAATCTCTGGGGGCCCGCCCACCCCTCAGGCAACGGGTTAAAAGGATCCCGCACCCCCTAAAGGCCTGGGCGGTGCAGGGGCCTCCCGCGACGTGCACGCAGAGGGCGCCGTCGCGGTTCACGTCGAGCTTCTGGAAGAGCGCGTGGAGGCGCCGCTCCTGCTCGGGGGCCCCGCACAGCGCCCGCCCGCGCGGGCCCGGGACGCCGCCGTCG